CCTCGGAAGGATGGAAGGCTGAGTCAACCTTGAGCCGGTGAGATTTGAACTGCTGAACTGCAGATAACAGTCAGCTGAAGTGGCCTGCAGTACTGCACCCTAACCACTGCGCCACCTCGGCTCCTCTTGGCCAATATTCCTTTTTTTTTTTTTTTTCTCTTGGGCCGTTCCAGAAATACAGATGTTAATATAGCACACCTCTGGTATCCTTCAAGTCAACACACAGAAACACCCAGGCTCTTTCCTGCACCAGAGCAGACGAGACGCCCGTTTACTCTGTCAAACGCTTTCTCATGCTCACATTACAGAACAACCCAGGTGGACGGGACCTTGGAGGTCTTCGAGTGCAACCTCCCCAAAAGACCGCACCACGGTAGCATGCCTGAAGAGCCCACAAACTGGCCACAAACCTATGCAAAAGTACACGGGAGGGAGGCAGGCATGCGTCTTGAGGATACGGAGGCACGAAGCAAATGAGACAGACTGTGGTTGCGCCCGGACCTTTTTTTGCAAACAGCATGGCTGCAGGAGGGGGCATCATGCAGGGCCCCCACCCACCCAAGGAGCATTGGAGGGCAATTCTGGAACACATGCAACAGGTTTTTTTTGTCACGTCATGCAACAATGCTCTTCTCGTGCATAACTCCATGTTTCCCCCATGTAGGAAGTTAGCCAGAATTCACAATCCCCCCCCAGGAAAATGCAGAGGCAGACCACGGGGTGCATTTGAGATATATTGGACAACAGGTAGTCCTCGATTTACAACCATTCATTTAGCGACCATTGGACGTTACAACGGCGCTGGAGAAAAAAGGGGCTTACCATGGCTCCTTTCACTTACAGTACAACTGTTGAACCGTCCCCATGGTTACGCAATCATAATCCAGGCGCTTGTCAACCGGCGTGTATTTACGACGGCTGTAGCACCCTGGGATCCTGTGTTTGCTGCTTGGAGCTTTTCCAACAAGCGAAGTCAACCGGGGAAAGCCAGATTTGCTTCGCGACCGCAGGATTCACTTAACCAACTGCAGCAACGTGGCAAAAAAGTTCGTAAAATCGGGCATGACTCAGCAATAGCACTTAAGGCTTATATGCTGCTTCACAGTGCTTTTACAGCCCTCTCTAAGCAGTTTGCAGAACCAGCCTTTTGCCCCCAATAATCTGGGTCGTAATCTTACCGACCTCGGAAGGACGGAAGGCTGAGTCAACCTCGAGCCGGTCAGGATCGAACTACTGGCAGAATTAGCCTGCAATGCTGCATTCTAACCACTGCGCCACCACGGCATCAAGGCTTAAAAACCGCCTTGCTTATCCACAGAAATGCTGGGTCCAACTGCAGCCGTAAGTCGAGGACTACCTGCAGAACGTCCGCGAGCTCCAATCCACATAGTCAAAGGCAAGGCGTGATCAACATTGCAGTCCCAAACACAGGGAAGGCATTCGGTTTATCTATCCCCGGAATCCTAAATCAACAGGATTCCAACTTGCAAAATCAACGCATTCAGTTCTGCCGAAGGGACAAGATGGGAGTCAAAGCGGATGGAAGGGGAAGGAAATGGCCGCCATGCAACAGGAAGACGCGGGGGGATCTAGGTTAGGGAGAGATTGGCTCACCTAACCAACATCCCTTTTTGGTCTGAAACGACTCCAAAAAAAATAATAATAAAAGCCAATTTTCAACCCAGCAGTTTTGTCCAATGAAACTCCCCCAGATCCCTGGGAGTTGTCATGTGGCGGGAAACGGCTGTCGATCAAGCTAAGCTCCGCCATTGGGAGGAATCAAGAACGAAGATCACCAGGACCGAAATCAGCCAGTCGGGAGAGCAAACCGATCAAGGAATGGTGCACACTTACATTTGACGGTGATCTGGGCCACGGCTTCAATCACGCCCAAGCTCGACATGGCGACGCATGTATAGTTCGCGGAGTCTTTCACGTCGGTCAGCTCGAGGACATTGCGTCCCACCGGCATGTCGTCTTCCGGCGTCAAGTCTTCGGCCCCTTGCATCCACTTGACGTACGGCATCGGGGAGCCCACCGCCACGCAGGTGATGTTCACGTTCCCGCCCGGCATGATCTCGTGGCTGGTGGGCGGGATGGAGAACCGAGGAGCCACGCGCCGCACTGCGGACGAAATGCACAGCGGTAACAAAACAAAACGGAAAAAAAAAAGAATAAAGGAAACAAAGGGGGGAAAAAAAACAACGGAGGAGAAAAAAGAGAGAAGAGAAGAAAAATAAAAAAGATAAAGGACGGGAAAGGGGAAAAAAGAGCAGAAGAGAATTTAAATACAGGTGGGGAGGGGGAGGGGCTCGAATTACTTGCAGTTCCTTCATTTTCAAAATTAAAAAAGGCTGAAATTAAAAAACTGTCGGAATGCCAAAGAAATAAATCAAGAAAGGAAGGGTGGGGGGAAAGGGGGGGGGAAGGGGAAAATAAACAGAACTTCGAAAAGAATTTACTTTCACAAACGATATATATATATATATAGAATTTATAAGACATCAAAGCAATATTTCATATCAACAGAAGTTCCAATGATCGGGTTGAGACCTGTCATCACAGCACAAATATAGACACAAAAATTTATTAGCAATTTCTCATCTTTGGAAAAAGCAAAGAGAGGGCTCAAGCATGTCTGGACCGGGGGGGGGGGGGTTCCCTCCTATGTCTTGGCATGGGGGGTGGTGTCCATGTCCCACCACCCCAACCCCGAGGACGTGGCCACCAATAAGAAAAAGTGGGCTTTGTTCTGCATTCCCTTTAAAATCTACGACCTGGTTTTGGGGGAACAGAAAAACACCTTGTATAAATAATGGGGCAGGGGAGGCTCCATCAAAGCCCACCCCCTAAATAAAAAAATGGAAGACGAGGGGAATGGGTTTTTTAAAGGTAGTCCTCAACTTAACAACTATGCTTTTAGAGACCGTTCTATGTTACCACGGCACTGAAGACAAGTGACTTCTAACCAGTTCTCACTCTTATGGACGTTGCAGCTTCCCCCATGGTCAGGGGTTGGCAACTTGCAGCTCTGGAGCCGCATGTGGCTCTTTCATCCCTCTGCTTCGGCTCCCTGTCGCTGGTCGGTTCCACAATTGATAGGGCTTCCGGTTAGGACAGGCAGAGTAAAAAAGACGCCGTGCTAGGAGGAGATGCTAGGAGGAGACTCTATGGTGGGGGAACTGGACTTCCAGTCAGCAGAGTAAAAAAGACGCCGTGCTAGGAGGAGATGCTAGGAGGAGACTCTATGGTGGGGGAACTGGACTTCCAGTCAGCAGAGTAAAAAAGACGCTGTGCTAGGAGGAGATGCTTGGAGGAGACTCTATGGTGGGGGAACCGGATTTCTGGTCGGCTTCAGAACTGAATGGGAGGCTTCCGGTTAGGACTTTTGTGGCTCTTTCGAGTGTTTAAGGTTGCCGACCCCTCCCCATGGTCATGCAATCAAAATCCGGATGCTTGGGAACTGACTTCCGACAAGCCAAGAAACCAGATTCACTTAACAACAACCTTACTAACTTAATAACTGCAGCGATTCACTTAGCAACGGTGGCAAGGAAGATCGTCAAACGGGGCAAAACTCACTGGGGGACTGTTTTGCTCAGCAGCGGAAATCTTGAGCTTCGTTCTTGCGTCGTTTTGAGAAATTAACATCCGTACATCTGAAATTTGGGAGAGAAAATTCCCGAAACCAGATGTTCTGCTGGTTTAGATGGCCATTATTTGGGGAAATGTCTACGGAGATTCCCAGCCATCCAGGTCATGGCTGTCCCAAAGTGCTTTCTTTCTTGGTTTTTCTTTGGAAACGTTTCGCTTCTCGTCCAAGAAACTTCTTCAGCTCTGACTGGAGGGTGAGGAACGGAAGGATTTATGCTCCTTGCAGACAGCTGGTCATTTGCATCCTTTGAATGAGTCGTTGAGCCACTTGGAGGTTTATCAGTGTCCTCAGGGTCACCTGAGTGTTGCAAATGGGTGTGGCGCCTTCTTGGAACTGCTGATAGGACCGTGTTGTAGACTGGAGATAGATGATGTCCTATTCCACCAACCCAACCCTCTCCTTTGAAATTTTGATATAGCAATAGCAGACTTATATACCGCTTCATAGGGCTTTCAGCCCTCTCTAAGCGGTTTACAGAGTCAGCAACTTGCCCCCACAGTCTGGGTCCTCATTTCACCCACCTCGGAAGGATGGAAGGATGAGTCAGCCTGGAGCCGGTGAGATTTGAACAGCCGAACTGCAGATAACAGTCAGCTGAAGTGGCCTGCAGTGCTGCACCCTAACCACTGCGCCACCTCGGCTTCTTTGACCCCTCTTTCAAGGCAGGGGTCCTCTCTATCCAAAATGTGGGCGATGTGGGCGGGGCAGCCTCACGGTCCTGCGCGGGTCGGATTAATGGCTTCGGCAGGCCGTATCCGGCCCTCGGGCCGTAGTTTGAGGACCCCTGCTCTAAAAAGGATGCAAATGACCAGCTGTCTGCAAGGAGTATAAATCCTGCCATCCCCCACCAGCTAGAACTGAAGAAGCTTCTTGGGTGAGAAGTTGAAACATCTTCAAAGAAGAAAAAAAAAACAGAAAGTCCAGTTGCCTCTTGAAAAAGCACCTTTGGGGCATTATTTGGGGCGTGATGATAAAACAGCTGCACTTCACACATCTGGATAGGCAGTCCCTCCTGAGGGTTAGGCATGGAGCCCTCGACTGACAGCATTTAGCTGCTGTTTGAAGTTACAGCGACCCTGGGAAAAGTGACTTGGGGCTGGTCCTCACACTTACAACTATCGTAGCACTTCCCATGGTCATGTGATCAAAATTCCAGGGGTTCGGCCACCGGTATGTATTTACAAGGGTTGCACCATTTGGGGGTCTCCTGATCACCGTTTGTGACCTTCCTAACTAGCAAGTAAAGGCAATAGGGGAAGCTGGATTTGCCTAACAATCCAGATTAATATTAAATGATCCGCTTAATGGCTCTATGGATTCACTTAACAACCGTGGGGGGGGAAGCTCCTAAAAATCAGGCATGACTCACTTATCAACCACCTTGCTTGTGGTCATAAACCGAGGACTACCTGTAGTCTCTCACAGCCAGCCTAGCTTGTTTTTTTTTAAAAAAAAATTCTCCTGGCCTTGTGACCAGATGCAAAAAAAATGGGGGCTGAAATCCTTTATAGCTTGTCCTCGCTTAGTGACACCAGCAACTCAGTCGCTAAACAAAAACGTGACCGCCCTTGTGATCTGACTGCAGCTCTCCTTCGCTTGACAGATCCCCCCCACCCCCACAAAGGTCATAACTTTGGGTCGAGGGTTGCTCATCGCCCTGTGAAATTTCACCAGCGTCGTCGCTGCAAACGGTCGCTAACCAAGACAGCTGCTAAACGAGGACAACCTGTAGCTATGGTTAAAGCTAGGTGCTCCTATTTTCCTGAAATGCTTGTGGGTGCAAAAAAAATATATCAAGGTGATTAGGCAAGAGTGAAAGGGCCTTGCTCTCTACAGGTACCCCAAATTTAGCCCCCCCCAATGGAAGAGAATGCATATAGAAGGGGGAAAGCCCTCTCTCCTACCCCACCCACCCACCGTCCCCAATAAGAAGGAGAATCTGCAAAAGGAAGGCCGCCTACGGGAAAGGAAACCAAAAAAAAAAAAAAAAAGATAAAAAGATGAGAAACTCTAATCAAATTTTTGTGGTTTTGGGGTATATACACCCTAACGAAGCTTCTTGGAAAAATCTAACATGATTCCATTGATAGATGCAGCTTTCAGATTTCATGCAAAGGGAAAAGCAGAAGAGGAGAGAAAAAGGAAGAAGAGGGGGAGAGAGAGAGAAAGAGAAAGAGAAGGAGGAATAGAACAGTGGAAGTTATTAATTGGGCTGCTAGCAAAAGCCCATGAGGTTAGGGAAAAATGGAGTTTGGGGGGGAAATTAGAGAGAGACAGAGAGGTTAGGGGTACGGGGAGAAACCCACTTTTAAAAATGCTGCATACTCTGTTTCTAGCTGATGTGATCCAATGTGCTGATCTAACATTGGCACATCACAGCCCTGCCAGAATAATAATCATAATCATAACAATAACCATAANCTACCTACCTACCTACCTACCTACCTACCTACCTACCTACCTACCTACCTACCTACCTATCATCCATCCATCCATCCATCCATCCATCCACCCATCCATCTATCTATCTATCTATCTCAGAGGTGTCCAATCTTGGCAGCTTTAAGTCATGTGAACTTCAATTCCAGAACTCCCCAGCCAGCCATGCTGGGGAAATGAAGTCCATGCTCGCTGGGGGATTCTGGGAATCAAAGTCCATAACTCTTACAGTTGCCAAGTTTGGGGATCCTTTGTCTTAACATGACCCTTTGGCTTTCAAAATCATCTCTTGGCTGAGACCAGTTAATTTATTTGTTTTCATGGATTGATTTTAGGTATATCCTGCCTTTATTATTTTTATAAACTGATTTTTACCTTCCCTGTAGGAGAAATCGATGATTGAAAATGGAAGTCAACGATCTCTCTAAAGATCATTTTACAGTTGTGTCTTTTTAACCCTTCTGGACAGGGGGGGGGGGGAACCAGATTTCTCTTCTACCAGTCCCTTGTTAAAATCCTTTTCCGTGGACACACATAGCACATGGTCTGCTCTAAATTCTGCAAGTAATTTTCCTGTAAGAATTAAATCCAGGGTTATCCACAAGGCATGGTCAAAAAAGTCAAAATTGTAGTGCCTCAAGGGTACAATCCACATTTTTTTTTGGTCCATTCCACCACCCACAAACACTCTGGCTTGAATCAGAATTTTAAAGCCTGTAAAACGAATTAGGCTACAAATCTCCACAGACCACTTAAAGGCGCCTTCAATAGTTTTATCGGAAGCAGTTTTGTTTTGCATGGAATTTAACTCAAATTCCTCTTTTTTAAAAAAAAACCAATCACTTCCATGATGCATTTCAAGAAGAGATGGGATAAATTCTGCCCTCTTCACTCAGAAATTGGTTTTTCTGCCTCAGTTGCGACTGGAAGGGGCGATTTATAGCCGAGTATCCTCCTCTGTAAGGGAAATGGCTGATTTCTAAGTAGGATATATTAAAAATAAATAAGTAGTGACCCCCCCCAAAAAAAA